ATTCTTAAGAAATTTCTTGAGCTCTAAATCAAAGAAATGTTGGTATATTATGTCAATTTTATATTTATATCATGTGAATAAGAATTTGTACGTATTCTTACTGAGTATTTTTAAAATACTCACTCTTACTAAATTTTCAGATTAGAACGAGTCGTGTGGACACGTGGCAATTGACCGAGTGATACTTATAGGATCGCCAAGTAAATTTCTAGAAAATATAATTGTCAAACTTTTATTTGAAAAATATCTTCATATTGAGCTTTGTGCACATTGTTTAATAACTATTTTTATACATTTTCAACACTTAATAAAAGTGATATTTCCACTTAAATTAGACAAAGAAGATGTCAGTAACACCTCGAGCCTTTTTTATTTAATGATGATGATGAAAAAGATCTCGAGGCGTTACATTTCATGGAGAAGTCAGCAAGCAACAATAATGAAGAAACAAAAAAGGTAGGGAAATAATGCAGGTCTGCAGATGATGGTGAACCAGATGACAATTAATTTTAATATGTTTCGTTCACTAGTAGAACACAAAATTGTGAGAGAACTGAATAGCAGTTTGATTACCACAATACATGGGGTTGGAGAAAACGAAGGTACACACATGTCCACATGTAACAAACGCAATAGCACAATCTCAATGGTGGTAACTGTCATATCTTGATACTCTGCCTCAGTAGAGGAATGGGAAACAATAGTTTGTTTCTTACTCTTTCAACAAAAATCAGTAGCGGACTAGTGTTCAGTAGGATTACTGACTCAATTAGCATCAGAGTAGACACGGAGCACCAAAGATGAGGTCGATTGGAGCAATAGACTTTAAAAGCAAGTAATATGAAGATTGCTCAAAATATGAAAAATAGCTGCCTAATGAACTGTAGTAGGAGATTAAACAAACTAACTAACAATTTGAATAGTATAAGTAATATCGAGATGTGTAATGGTAAGATAAACCAAACACCCAACAATGGTGCGATACAAAGTGAGATTAGTCAAGGGTACACTATGAGAGAGTGAATTCGAGTGTTGAACTCAAGAGGAGTATCAACAGTTTTAATGTCAATAAGATGAGTATGCTTAATAACATTCATAGTATACTTAGACTGAGAGAGAAGATGGCTTCTAGGAAAAGAAGCAACTTCGATTTCCAAAAAAACAAGATAATGTACCTAAGTCCTTCATTTAAAAGTCCTTCATGAATCCAACTGACATAAGGGAAAGATCTTGACAGCTTTAGCATCTTTTGAGTTGAAAAGGTCTTTATAGAGTTAAGGGGGGAGGTTTTGAACTCTAGTAGTGTAATGGAATCAATTTACCAAGCTAACTTCCATGCCAACACGAGTAGTTTAACTCATCACTACCTTGTAAGGGTGTTGAGAATTGTTAGGTAAATCCACTTGATTATTAAAGAATCAACCACTAGCCATTACGAGTTTATTGCATGTACTTATGTATCTAATATATGTACATATAGAGATTTTATCTACATAGTGACTCATTTGGGAATTAAATTAAATAAACCTTTTAACTCAGTGGTAGAGTAACACCATGGTAAGGCGTAAGTCATCGGTTCAAACCGATAAGGGGCTTTGGTTTGCAGTGCCCCTCCATTGATGAAAACATCTTGGAAGGGGAGGTCTTCCACCTGCTATATATATTACGAGTCTATTGCATGTACTTATGTATATAATATATGTACATATAGAGATTTTATTTACATAGTGACTCATTTGGGAATTAAATTAAATAAACCTTTTAACTTAGTGGTAGAGTAACACCATGATAAGGCATAAGTCATCGGTTCAAACCGATAAGGGGCTTTGGTTTGCAATGCCCCTCCATCGATGAAAACATCTTGGAAAAGGAGGTCTTCCACCTGCTATATATATATATATA